AACTCACCCATGAAAAGCAAATCAACACTTTTAAAGCTGGGTGTGATCCCTGAGAACATCTAGTTCAAAACAGAAAAAGCTGAGGCACAGAGTAATTTAAATATGACCCCTGAAGGTCACCTGGATGAGAACCCAGGTCTCCTGTCCTGTGTAGTTCTGTGTTCACCCTCCTGGGAAAGTTTCTCTAAGGGCTTCCCCGGCTTGATTTTATACGAAGGTAGAACTGATTAAAAGTAATAGTAACAACAAATACCTATAGAGTTTGCTATGTGATAGTCAATGTTCTGAGTGTATTATATGTATGAACTAATTCGATCCTCACCACAGTCCCATGAAATAGAATCTATAATCAGCCCCATTTTATAGACAGGATAATTGAGGCTTCAGATCACACAGGTAGCTGGTAGAGCTGGGATTCAAATACAGGTGGTTCATTCAACTGATCCTGCTGTTACACATCTGCTGTACATAATGCAGTCAAGCATAAACCTCGACTGAGATTATTTTTAAAACACCAGCACATGAAGTCAAACTGTCATGCGCAGCAAAAATGCACAATTATATGTGTAAATGTATATTCCATACAGTTTGCTATTTAGGTGCACACACCCAATATGCACGAGTCACCATATACAATATAGAGGACTGTGCTTTCTAGGAACTTTCCTCCTACCAGGACTGTACTCCATCCTGCCCCATACCCCTTTCTCTCCAAGACTTGGCAATTTGCCATACTTCTGAGACAGTGGGCCCTAGAAATGGCTCACAGCATTACTGTGGTTATGAAACCTGGCTCCTGTCATCACTACTACCCACTAAGGAGTCCCCACGCCCATGTATACAGCGACTGTAGTGCCTGAACACAGCTGGACCCACGCTGGCTTTGGCTTCCCCAAAGGGTGCATGAAAAATCTGCTTAACATCAGGAAGTATGAAGAAATTAAGCCCCTGTAACCAATGACAGGTAGGAGGTGGGACAGAAGCAGCGCTCATCCTTCGTCCCCATTAGGCTCTGTTCCAAGATGCATATGGTCAATTCTAGGGCCATCTGACACCACTGTTGAATAGCTGTGGTCAGCTCAAGAATGCACTATCTTGTATTTGCTCGCTCTCCTTCCTTAGATCATCCATTCTCTTTTGCCCTCACTCTTACCTTCCCTGGGATTGTAACACCCCTCAACCCCAATAAAGTGTTAGCACATAATCTCTTTGCCCTGTTTTCCAAGGAACCTGGGCTAAGACATGGGGGTATTACTTGAGAGCGATGATTTCAGTATATAAGAGTGCCGTTAGTGGAATGCAGCCAGAGACATGAGAACAGTGGCCATCAAAATTCCCTATCCCTTCTCTATGATTCAATAGTACAATAAGCAACTCAACACTTTAGCCTGCGTTTCGGGTACCATGGTGCTTCTGCAGAAGAAACAAAGCAACTATAAGTTTACCTGATAAAAAGAATCATTGTTTCAATGTTCTAGATCCAAAGCTATATCTTTGACTTTTTATATTTAAGGGCTGTCTTTGGTAAGACTTGGGGAACCCTTCTAATTTAAATTGCTTTGTTCCTAAGGACAGAATTAAATGAATCCATTCAAAGATCGAATTATATAGCTGCTGGAGGGTACATCTTACAGCCAATTCATTCTTGCAGGATTGCCAAAGAATGGAATTCTATTCAAAATTAGATCATTGGAGGGGCCAGACAAAGGCAATTTTATCACTGGGTACAGCTATATAGCATCAGACCTTAAAGACATTTGGGCCTAAATGGATTCTTCCACACTCAGTGGTGCATATTTTGGAATATGAGCTGGGTACTGGTCTGAATTCTTTAGCAGGTACGATGATATTTTAGTTATGCCTGAGGCCCATCTGGGACAGAATACAAGTTAGTCTCCTAAAGCTTTTTAATACAGAATATCAACTCTGGAATAGGCATTTTTGGCATTTAACAGAGTAGCAATTCTCTTTAATCAATAGTACAGGATAATAGGACCTCAGGGACTCAGCAGAGAATTCATCTGTGAATTAGAAATTGGGCATTTGCCAAAGGATGATGCAACTTGCCTAATATTTGAGAAAGATGGTTTAGAAAGCAAGTTAATGCTCCATTCCTCTGGCTTACTTAAGCTCCACTGTCATTAATTTGGAGTTTTATTAAGAAATAAATCTATATTATAGTACCTTAATATTCCACAGAAATCCTTCCATTGAATTAGCATTTAATGCCACACACTCAGAGTTTAGAGAACAGCATTAGAAAAGCAGCAGCCATCTGGGGGATGTTTCTGTGTCTTTTGCAAAATCATAGTTTAAAAATGTGGTTTACTCTGGTACCAAATCTCTTTGTTCATCTAGGTGAAAAAACCCATCATGCTCAAGAGAAAGAAGTTATTTGACCTGCAACATTATTAATTTGTTATTATTATTATTTGCTTTGGCATTTGAAAAATCCAAAGCTAAACAAAGTGTTCAACTATAGTAATAAACATCTCAAGTAATTGCTAAAACATTTCTTCCCTTTCAGTTACTCTTGGCCTCTTCTTAAGATTTAACTGTCCTTTTGTGTAGTTTTAGTATTGAAGTAGTCCCAAATCTAAAAAGAGCTATATATAATAAACTAAATATGCAACAAAATTATTAAATAGTTACAGGAAGAGAATATTTACGTATATTATTGATGAAGCAGGGAATTGAATTATCAAGTTAAATCAAGCAAGTTTTAACATAATCGTATCAGCAAAACACACATGTGATGGAAAAGAAAAGAGCTGTCAAATACTCAGCATTTTAGTCCCCACCTCCTGTGTTTAACATTTCTTAAACTTTACTTCACCCCTGCATGGAAATTTTCCCTATAATGCCATCTTTTAAAAAGACCTAGTTTCTTCTCAGTATCTTCACTGAATACTTAACAGATGAAGAATTTAAGTAGAAATACACCAAATGTTAATAGTCAGTTATGGGGATGAAATTAAACTACCACACACTTTAGGTTATTCCCAAATTTGTTTAACATCATTCGTTTTAAGAATTATTGAAACAGCCAAATAAGCTTTCACATTTATTATATCTTGGATGAAAACTTCCACTCTTAGACTATCTCTAAGTGATGTTAAACAACCAGACACTTCAATGTAAAAAGTCTGGGAGATTACTAAACTCATAAAGAAAAAGCAATAATCCAGTTGTCTGGTCAATGTTCAGTGGTTCTGTTAGTATCACAGAGTCAACCTCAGACAAGAGTATCTTCATAGGCAGCTGCTTTCATGTCTCTTTTTCAAACTGGTAAGAGTTCATATTGTTTACTCATGGAGTACGTATTTTGTGAAAAGTAGCATGCTATGCAAATTAGGCATATATAATAAATTACAGTCCTGAATCACATGGAAATACAGTAAAACATCTGGTTAAGAGGTGAACATTCCCACATCTTGTCTATGGTTATGCACATGAATAAGTGGCAATCATAAGCAACTTTAAAATCCTGTTTCGGGGGGGGGGGCAGTTATACCTGGGGGTTTACATCTTCTTTCCTGTGGTTAATTGCCAGGCTTCACCAGTGTTTGAATGTCCTGCCAGTCATTCTTAGTCCAGGGCACGTAACCTCTTCCCTCAGGTCAGGCTCCATGCCTCACCTGATCTCTTGTCTTCGGTCTGACCTGAATCCTAGACAGATTCCACCACTAGCCATTCCTAGACTTCTGTTTTGAATAGGGAACTTCTCTTTTTTGAATAAGGAACCACCAGATTCGACCCTATTTACCAAACCGGATTTGCTTTTAGATCTCCCTGAAACTGTATTCCTCTCTCAAAGTAAGATGGTTTTCTTAACCAGCAACACATTCCTGACCTTCCTTATCTACCCGTATCCCACAGATATCAATACACTCTTGGGGCATGAACTTTAGCGCTAGGAAATCAAATCTTTGGTTTCTGCTAGGAGGTCCCTTCATGTTTTCAATTCTCAATAATTCACAAGAATTATACCTGAGATAATCAGTGATAAAAACATAAATACCAGCTTAGTATCACACTCATTATTACCTACTACTTAAGCCCAGAATATATTATTGTCATATCTTACATGTCATTAACTATATTATATCCATCCAATTAGAGTTAAATCTGACAGCTGTATGAACTCAAATTTTTAAATTTATAAGGATCATAATGTACGAATAATATATTCTTCCAAATACAACAGTGAGTTAAAGTATTATCATTTGTTTCTTCTAAATAGATTCTTCATGACATTATAAATTCATTTTAACAGTAATTTTTTTTAACTAAAGCCATGATGGGTATTTTTTCCCTGGGATGTTCTAATCAATTTTCCTATGAACTAGTGTCATGAAAATAATATGTAAACTTAACAGGGTTCATAACAAAGGAAAATGGTTGTAATGCTGGATCAAGATGGGTTTTTTTGTTAGATAACGTTCCAAGTGCTCAGTTATTCAAAACATTAAGAGATAGAAGTAATCATCAAGTTGTTCCCTGTAATGAAATGCTGAAATCGACATTAAAATTGTGGAGCAGCCTCTCTGATTACTAACTAGGGGTATTACGAGCACAATGGGAAAGCAGGCTTCCTTCCAATCTCATCAGCAATGCCATTTGTCGTGTCTCTTTTCGAGTAACAAGACTCGTATTCAAGAAACATCAAGAGGGATGAGGCCAGAATGCTGTACTGAAAGACCCTTAGCTGAAAGGTAATCAGCTAAACGGCTGGCCTTTGACCCCAGCCCAGCATGCAGCCCAGGGTTCACATGTAGGATAACATTTCAATTACGAGTCATTGGAATGGCAAGAATAAATCTGCATCAAGGAACGGGCACCACCGAAGGGACCAATTGCATTAGAGCTACAAACTCGCAGAAAGATTGCAAGACCTTTTATTACAAAAGAATCCAAGATGTTGGGTCTAACAAAGGTAAATGTCACAAGAAACCGAAACTCAGACCCAGACAAATACACACATATATGTATAGTTTTACCTTGCTGCGTTGGGATCCTGTGACCTTAAGGAAGGATGAGGACAAGAAGCAAAATAGCAATAAACAATTGCTCGGAAGACAACTGATAGACCATAAATGGTGTGCACTTCAGAAAAAAACAGTATTATTTGCTGCTCAGAGCTCATTCGAATTTACCTCAGTTTCTTATCAATAAAGATGGATTTGAGAACAGAACACACATACTTTCGAAAAGATTATAGTGTCATGTAGGAAAATTAATCTTATAGCATCTTAGTCAGCAACAGTCACAGGGTATTCTCAGATTAGTTTTCGTACTTTCTACACATTGACTTCAATGCTGCAGAGATGCTGTATCGAATTGTTTCTGGAAGGGACACTACTCTTTGTCCACCCCTCAACCTCTACCTTTTTATGGGACCACTGTAATTAAGGACCGACTGCTGGCTACTAATCTGTTTACAGACTTCTGGCTCGAAATCCAGGTATGTAATAGGAAAAAACAAATAATGTAATCTGTTTCTTTCCACTTCATTTTTTTTTTGAAAATTCTATAAAGAAAAAAAAAAAAAGAAAAAGAAAAGAAACAAAGAGAAGGGGTGGTTAGCAACAACTCCTTTTTTTTTTTTCCATAGAAAACAAAAGTCAAGTCTAAATAAAGGGGGAAAATAATACTGACTTCCTTTCTGGCTAACTGATATTGAGCAGTCTTTCTAATTTTCTGGATATTTACAAGCTGAGAACATTGAGAAAATAATCATAGAATAGAACGTAGCCCTAGGAATATATGCATTCCTACCTCATGCAAGCAAACTGCGTTCTGCACCACCATCTACATATGATCAGGAAATGAGTGACCTAATTGGGTTGAAGTCAAAAGACGCTGAATCTTTTAGTTCTTCAATTCAGAAGAAAATATCAAACCAAGGGTTTAATTAAAAACTCGATGTCATGTTGCTCTTCAGTGAGTATTTTCCTCACATGTCCGTTGGAAATTTCAGATCCCAACATTCACTGAGATGAGAACAATTTGAAGTGATCTCATCTCGGAAGGTTCTCAGGAACACTCATTCTGAACATATGGGTGTTATTGGATTATTTCATTACTCTACGTTCCTTGGTCTTAACTTTAGCAAATGTTAGGACTCAGATCTGTCTATCCAGCTTCTGACATGCAGTTCCTTGACACAATAAGCTGCAATAAGCCATGAAGCAAGAAACATAAATGTCAGTTATAAGCTATGAAACAATGTTTCAAAGTAGAAAAAAAAAAGACAAATCTAGAAAGATCCATCTTACTTCAAAACTCTTCACTTCTTCTTCACCATCATCATCTTCCTCATCATGACAACTCTGATACATGGAAAACATTAAAAAAAAGTCAGCAGGATTAGAATATGTTGAGGCAGGAGGTACAAAAGAATGTTGTGTAAAACACCAAATCATTGGTATTAATTTATCATTGACATTGTTTAAATGGATGTGTCAGATACAGTAAACGTGGAAGGCATGACCAATGAATTCATGACCTACAAGAAAACGATACTGTGCTTTTACAAAATCAAAATATTAAACTGCCAATTTAAGTAATACAGATACATGCAATAATTGTGAATAAAATTAACAGAAAACATGTCCATTATCAAAGCGTATCTTGTAATCCTTTAAATTCATTTTTATTGTAATTGATCCAAAAGAGGAAATGAAATTCTAGCTGCTAATATTACTCTTTAATAGAAAAATAAGTATACTATTCTATTATTTTGAGTTATTTCCCCAGAAATGATAAAGGAGGTATAGTAATCCATGCATACATTTTAATCTAATTCCCACAGCTAAAATTTTTGTTTGATAAATTGTGTGAGGACACAGAGTGTCTGCTTCAAATCCTAATGCTGCCAATTATTAGCTGTTTAGCTTAGGGCAAGTTCCCTTACCTCTCTGGGTCTCCCTTTCGTCATATTTAAGATGGGAATAAGAAAAAGAAGACCAGGGTTCCTGAGAAGATTATACGAATTAACATATGCTAATGGTTTCCCACTTAGAAATAAGTGTCTGAAAATAATAAGCATTTAATACATCTCAACTGCTACTATTATTATGGTTGACCAAAGGAGGCTGTCACTAGCCAATAGCTATGGCAGGTGAAAAACCTTGAGTTCTTCAATGTTAGATCATTCCAGCCTTTCTAAAGATTCCTTACGGTCGGCAAGCACTCAGTGTATCAGTGAAGTGAATGGTGGCAAGTAATTAAATATAAGCTACAAATCAGAAAAATGCTTTCAATTCAATGATTGCCTGTATTTTGAGTAGAGAGATGAAGAGGGGGTGGGAGAGAAGGCATAGAATGTGATCCTCCTACCCACACAATAATATTCTGTTGTTCATTCAACAAATATTGACTCTCACCCTTTCCAATTCAGAATAAGACTGACAACATGCTTTGCCAAGAAGAAAATAAAGGGCACATAGACTTGTGACAATTTTGCTCTTTGGAAAAGGTGTTCAGTAGTGTGCTGCCCCCCAGAAACAAAGAAGTGAATTATTTATTCAGAGGGTGGGGGATTATCTGCTAGGTGCTAATGCCACCTTGGATTCCAGGTAATCAGTTCACCAGGAATTTTAAAAATAAGAACCCATGATGACTTTAGCAAAACATATCTGCAAGGCAAATCTGTGGTCATCCATAACTACTATGTATCTCATGTTAAATACAGAGGACTTTTGGCCTATCTGCCCTCTAAGATTACCAATGTAATATTTCACTCTTCTGCATTAATTACAAGTGAAGCATGGGGTGCCTGGGTGGCTCAGTCAGTTAAGTGTCTGACTTCGGCTCAGATCATGATCTCGCAGCCCGTGGGTCTGAGCCCCACGCGGGGCTCTGTGCTGACAGCTCAAAGCCTGGAGCCTGCTTTGGATTCTGTACCTCCTTGTCTCTCTGCCTCTCCCCCACTTGCACTCTGTCTCTCTCTCAAAAATAAATAAATATTAAAAAATTAAAAAAAAAAAAAAAGAGAAGTGAAGCACAGGGATTTTAGCAAGTAACAAGCATGTTTACTATTTAAGCAAATTAGAACACTAATATGAAATGTCTCCTAATGGATAATTTTAAATTATCTCCTATATGTTTTATTACCTTTAAAAATAGCAAGAAGAAAAAAATAGCAAGAAGAAACAAGTTACAAAAAAAAAAAAAAGGTTATTTATTTATTTATTTATTTACTTATTTATTTTGAGAGAGAGAGAGAGCAAGTGAGCATGGGAGGGTCAGAGAGCAAGGGAGAGAGGTATCCCAAGCAGGCTCGGTACCGCCAGCCCAGAGCCCAATGTAGGGCTCGAACCCACACACCGTGAGATCATGACTTGGGCCGACACCAAGAGTCAGACATTCAACCGACTGAGCCACCCAAGTGCCCCTTGAAATCAAGAATATATTCAGAAAAATCATCATTTTAGGTTATAACGATATATGCTTTTAAGCTATAAAAGTCATAGGATATGCTTGCTTTTAGAATTCCTTCAGGAATTTAGAGCTCTAGGTGACAGATTTTTTTTTTTACAAAAGTTTTTAAGTAAAATAACTACTTAATAAATCTTTCCATGAAAATTTAGTGAGATTTGCTCCAATCAGGTTAAAATTTGTGATTTTTAGGACCTATTAAGCCTCAAATTGGGATATACATCAAACCTATAAACGACTTTGAACTTCTATTGATTGCATACGTTGAGGGTATGCTGAGACCACAAGAAAACTACAACAGATCTGCAATTTTTTAATGTATTGGGAAGAAAACGAAGGATTCACATGTATACGAGATACATTTTTCAGTAGCAAATGGCATCTGTGTGATATATAGGGTAAGTAAATAGAGTTCTATTAGATGGTCCTAACACACAGGATTTAGCTTTCTGCACCAAAATGACAAATTCTAGGCAAGGAGTGATACCATATGCCAGGAAGGAAACAGTGAATAAAATCCATACATAAAGGAGCAGAAGTGTGGAATAAGGGACTTTGGAATTAAAAAAAAAAAAAAGAGAGAGAAAACTAAACTGGAGGATACTTTGGGCCATTCCAGCAACCAGATCGAAATTCACAATTGGTGACGAGAATCCATAAGCAGTAAGTAGGGCACTTCACATGGCCAGCATCTGCTGGGAATTTCTTTCTGCAAAGCAAGTATATTTCACACATTGTTAAGTTGCCCTTCTGACTGTGTCATGCCTCAGAAGATGGAGGAGGCAAAAACCAGAAACTTTTAGCATGCATGTAAATCTAAAAGCTAATGGGTGAGGGGTGCCTGGGGGGCTCAGTCGGTTAAGCGTCCGACTTCAGCTCAGGTCATGATCTCACGGCTCATGAGTTCGAGCCCCGTGTTGGGCACTGTGCTGACAGCTCAAAGACTGGAGTCTGCTTCAGATTCTGTGTCTCCTCCTCTCTCTCTAACCGTCCCCTCCCCTCCACTCTCTGTCTCAAAAATAAATAAACATTAAAACAAAAAAATTTTAAAGCCAATGACTGAGATCAAAGTGAGAGAAATCTCCTAAGAAAGTGACCCTGGCCTTTGATAATTTTAACCTACAAAGGATAGAACATTGGGCATAACTAGTATCCTAAATATTTTATTATGTTAGTAAGAGAAGGACGAGAAAACGATTTTCTCAGCCTGAAGCCAAAATAGTGGAAACACTGTTGAGTTAATAACTTATGATGGCATCATTCTAGATACTTCCATATTGTTATCTTGTTCAAATTGGTAGGAGCATCCCATTAGAATGAAACAGCTTCAGACTGTTGAGGAGAGAGACTGGGTAGTAAAGAAGCACTCTGAGACTCAAGCAAGGGTGGTCATGATGACGACAATGGGGATGGCAACAGTAAGCTAATGTGGATGCACCAGAAATTCTCTGACACGCTTTTAAAGGGGTGCTATACATGACAGAAGTAGACGGTTGGAGACACAGGAAAAGAATATTAATCTCAAGTTTAAAATAAAGTGTGGCTTGAAAAAAATACAAAGATTTAAAATGATTTTTTTAAGATCTAGAGGAAGCAAAGAGAATAAGGGACAGTAAGAACAGGATTTAGAGCAGATGTAATAATAATAATAAAAAAGAAGAGTAGAGCTATTCATCAGCTATTTGCTTCAGATTATACCATGAAAGAGAAGTGATTTTTAAATACAGACATTATCTAGCCAAGAGAAATGGAAATTAAGACCCCAATGAAAGACCATTTTATTCCCATTTGGTTGGCAAAAATTGAGAAATCCTATAATATCAAATACTAGAAAGATATGGATCATCAGAATGTCTCTTAAACATTGATGGTAAGAATGTAATTTCATGCAATAAACTTTGAAAAAGAGTTTGCCATTTTCTCCTTAAGTTGAACATTCTTATACCCTATACCCTACATCCCTTGTACAAGAGAAGAAATGGGGGCACCTGGGTGGCTCAGTTGGTTAAGTGTCTGACTCTCGATTTTGGCTCAGGTCAAAATCAAGCCCTCTGGGATCAAGCCCCCTGTCAGGCTCTGTGCTGATGGCAGGGAGCCTGCCTGGGATTCTCTTCCTCTCTCTCTGTTCCTCCCCCATGCTCACTCACTCTCTCAAAAATAAACAAAAATTAAAAAACATATAAATGAATAAAAAGAGGCCATTTTGAGCCCTTTTCATGTTAGCAAAAACACAGATTCAACATAAAAGGTTATCAACAGAAAAGTAAATAAATAAGCTAGGGTGTAGTTGCCCAATGGAATATAATGAAATAGTAAAATCAAATGAACTCTGGCAACACATAGAAGGGTTGATGAATCTTAGAAAACAGTATTGAGGAAAACAAGTACCAAGAAATTATATATAGCATACTGCCCTTTTAAAAGTTAAAAACAACTAAAATTAAAAACACATATAATTATATGTATAATTATAATATATACACATTTGCATATATGTGATGTGTATGTATTAACAAATAGGTATGATAAGGGAAAATGACATAAAAGGAGAGCAAGGGTACTGGAACACAAAATTCAGGATGATGGTTTCCTTGTATGTGGGAACAAGGTATGGGTTAAGGGGGAAGATCACATGACTACGTGTAAGTTAGTATGAAGGTCTTAACTTTTCTCGCATGTGGTGCATTTATGGGTATTTGCTACATTACTAGAAATGACTACGTAACTAACTTAGTAAAAGTGGGCCACTATAATGGGCCAATGGTAAGGGTCTAACATGGAATCCAGAGTTACGATTAACCCAGTTCTGTGTTCCTATGGTTAAAATATCAAAACTGAAAATAAAAACCTAACTGATATGTAAGCAGTGCCTTCAAAAGATCCTGCAATGGTGAAAGAAGACATGAAGGCATAAGTCTCTTAAGGTGAGTTCAACTTTTAAGACTCAAGGCAAAAATAGACATTATGTGAATGCAAAATGATTACTGGTAAACTCTAAGAAACCATGAAGGCCAAGAGGAAGTTTTGGACTCTGGGATGCCGATTTATTTTTCTTTTCTTTTCTTCTCTTTCCTTTTCTTTTTTCTTTTTTTCAGGCTCCATATTTAGCATGGAGCCCTGACATGGGATTTGATCCCACGACTCTGAGGTCATGACCTGAGCTGAAATCAAGACTTGGACGCTTAACCTACTGAGCCACCAAGGTGCCCCTTTATTTAAAAAAACAAAAACAAAAAAACAAGACAATCTTCTTAATGCTTCCTCAAATCATGAAAAAAAAATAAACATATTACCCTATTTCTTCATCTTAATGAGGTTGCAGTGGGGAAATTAAATATGAAGAGAAAATAAGTATTCAAATTAAGAAAACTTGATAATTCCAAGGTCTGTATTTGGCTCACTTTAGAAATTCTCTCCTCATGTTTTCATATTTAGTTTAGGGACTTTGTGGTCATTGGATTTTCCCCCAAAAGCAGTCTCCCCAAAGGACTAATTCCTTAATTCTCAATTTTTGGTCTATACCTGTGAATGTATCTAAAAATGATGAAGTCAAGCTTTCACTTTTCGCAGATGACATGATATTATACATGGAAAACCCGACAGACTCCACCAAAAGTCTGCTAGAACTGATACGTGAATTCAGCAAAGTCGCAGGATACAAAATTAATGTAGAGAAATCAGTTGCATTCTTATACACTAATAATGAAGCAACAGAAAGACAAAGAAACTGATCCCATTCACAACTGCACCAAGAATCATCAAATACCTAGGAATAAACCTAACCAAAGATGTAAAAGATCTGTATGCTCAAACTATAGAAAGCTTGTGAAGGAAATTGAAGAAGATACAAAGAAATGGAAAAACATTCCATGCTCATGGATTGGAAGAATAAATATTGT